AAATTGTACCTCAGTTAATCCCCCACTGAGATAATACAAAAATGGGGGGAAATCACATATAGGGTTAACTAATGTATACTTTATGCTTTGTTACTGTAAAATATCTTTCAGTTAATATAGATGGTTTTGTAAGCTACAGTGTTTCAGCACAAAACTGCATAGCTAATAACAGGGATGGACTCTGCTCTCCACCTCCATTTTCTCCTGGCAACAGTCACAGCATGTTTAATAAACTTTAATTCCACATTTCAAACCCCTTTGCTTTATACTTTGATGTGTCACAGACTATAGAAAATAGAAATGGGTGTCCAGAACAGCTGATAACAGGAAATCAGAGGTGTCAGCATTTTGCTGTGAGAAATTACCAACCTTTGTGTGAAGCCTTTATGTAGAATATTCTTGATTAAGACAAAGAAAAGGCTTTAGAATACAAATAGCCTTACAAACAAGGGACAGTCAAACCCTTTTATTTCAAAGTCGTTTCAGTTTTACATTTTATCCTTATATTCTTCACAGTATCAATATTTGGATGTTAGTAACTAAAGGTGCCTATGTAGACAGACAGACAGTTTACACACACACAGAGTACATGTTTTATGGTGTCTACTGCTTTATAGCTGAGTGTGTTTTAGTTCTCTGCCCACCCTGCTCACAGACAGTTCTGGTTAGCTGAAATGCAAATGTGTTTACCAAAGGCCAATTATTTATTAACAGATGGCAATATGGTGAAACAACCTGAACAGTTTTTGACCTGTTTGTGAAGGTAAACCACTATATAAATATTAAATTGACAACACTGCAAGTTCTGCGGCCTCTAATAAAGGGAGCTGGTTAAGGGTAAGAGGAGTCATACCTTCAAATTAAGATAACCAAAACCAAAACCCTGCAACACCCCACTGCCCTCATCCTCTCAGGCCCCAAAATATAGCTGAAATAGCCAAAGGAATGCTATTCATAGGATGACAAATGCAAAGAAAACGAAAAAGCAGTGCAGGACAAGGATGAATCCTGGACACGAAGTCTGTAACGAAGGAAACCAGCTGACCTTTGTGTGGGGTATGAAGTTCTTGTGCTCACAAACTCTTGCGTGGGTTCAATGTTCCCAAGCCCACACAAATCACAACTGGCACTGAGTGACTATCCCATACCCAGCATGGCAGAAGCCACACAAGTGCCCAGGCACCTGCAGGTTGGGGCTGAAGATGCCGAACATTTTGGAGCATCCTACACAGAGGGTTGGGAGTGCAGCCTCTTCCCACGTGTGCCATATTTTCTTCCTATTGAAGTGATGTTTCACACTATTACATTAATTTTTCTGTTATAAATAGATCAGCAGGCCAGGTGCTAACTGAACCACCAGGAAATTCCTGTGTAATCTTTTGGGTTGTTTGGCTTAAGAGCTGGACACCAGTGCTGAGACACCAAGTTCCCATGTCATTAAACTGGGCTTTTGGTCAGGCCAAAACTCACCTTTGCTTTTTAAGATGCAATCCTCCAGGAATACAATATCAAGAATTGAGCCAGTTCTGCCCTGCAGAGAGCAATTTGGGAACACACTGAACCTCAGCTTATAAAATAGCAGCTCCAAGTGGTGCCACATGCTGCTGATTCTGACATGACACTGTGTCTTTGCACGGCAGCATGATGAAGCACCCTAAAATTAGCCTTCTTACTATTTCGTAAAGAGCAGGCAGAAAGGTAGCAGCCTGCACTGAGGAGAACAAAGAGGCACAGGAGAGGATCACAACTGAGGCTCACACACAGCCCGGTCTCAACACTTCATGGTGAGCACTCTTGGCTTCTTTGCAGATTTCCAGGTTGGGTTGTTTAGTGTCATTTCTTAACCCAAGACCAGGCTGAGCTGAGTGCGAAGGAAGAAAGGTGCTTGTGTAAACAGAGGAGGGAGGAGGGACCTGTTCTTCCAGGGGGCTTGGGATTCAGTGGAAAGAAAAACTAACTGTGAAAATTACAGGGATGGTCTCTTCTCTTAGAGGTGTGGTAGGCATTTAATTTAAACTGGCATTTAATTCACAGAATTAAGTTTGTTGTTACTGGAATAGAACTGGGAGTGGAAGAAAAAAAAAAAGTGCTGGTATGGAAATCAGACACACCATAGTAAAGCCCCCTTCTGTTGAGTCAGACTGATGTTTTTCCTGATACTCAGTTCTCTCTCTACCCCATTTTTTGGGTGATGAAGTCCTTAGTTTTACAAGGAGTAAGAATTGAGAGAAAAAAAAAAAAAAAACAAAAACAAAAACAACTTCCAGGCAGTAGGAAGACAGGCATGAATGTGTTTGGGTATGGGAACAGAAACAGTGAAGGAAAAGATCCCAGACCTGAGTAACCCTTGCAGATGAGGTGAAAAAAGAAACTGTAAGGAAACATTGGAATATCAGAGGGCACAACAGGCGTGTCATGAAAGGGATGTCAGGACTGATTACTAGGAGGGAAGGAGGCACAGCACACATCTCCAGGAAGCAGGGGACCCTGCCATTAGCTCAGTGTAACAGCCTGTGGACCTGTGCCTAAACAACTGTGAGTACAAGCTGTTTTCTCTACTCCTGTGGTGGGACTCTGTGAAGAATAGCTGGGAAGAAGATAACACTGAGGCATAAACTGTGACTGGTACATTGTAACTATATACAGCTGTTTCTGCTATTAGTTATTGCTCAAAGATAGGGGACTATTTTGCAACGGATATTTTTGTTCAGTAAAGATGATTGGACAGTACTCTGCAGCTTTTGTGATTTATTTCAGGAGAAGACTCATGATTTCACATGTATTACTGAAACCCAGAGGGGTATGATGCTATAAGATCTATTTTGGTGCAGTCAGCAACCGATACGTGGTAGAGCATGGACTGAAATGCAGCGTCAAAGTGGTAGTGAATCATTTGAATCAACTACAGTAAAGGACATCTCTGTTCAAAAGGTGGATTAAATATTCACAGTGGTCAAAGACTCTTGGACAGATGGAAAATTAGATTTCTCTTGCAGAGGTTGTTAAGAAGCTCCCCAGAAATGGTATGTGAGCAGACAGAGCTTGGAGTCCTTGGAGGGCTGTAATTCTTAATTTCCTATGACATAAGTCTCACCCTTGTCATTAGAATAGAAGATTTTAAAAAATAATATCTCATTTTGGAGACAGAAGGTAAGTGAGCTGTTTGAGCTGAGCAATCAAATCCTCATAACTGTGAAAAATGGAATCATTGCTGCTACCTACACACAATTCCAAGGTAGAGAAACGTAGTGACTTCTCGTGTTCCCAGAGATCTCCTAAAGCCAGTATTTGCTAATCTCACATTTAGGAAAGAAAAAATTGCCATAAATTTGTAGTCTTTTCTTTCTGTTGTTGATTTATTTACTGGGAGTGATTTCGATGCTCTTATTTCAGCGCAGAACACTTTGGGTGAATGTGTTTGGGATAACGTTTCTTTGTTTACTCGGTCCACCGCCATACAACAAACTGCTTCCATTTAAAACTTCGAGCTTGGAAGGGGAAGCCAAAGCAACTGTGTATCACTTGGAAGCAGAAACAGTAGAGCAGCCACCTGTGCCAAACCTCCACTGCATGTAGCTGTCTTTTTCCCTTGGATAGAGCAGGAGAGAGCAGTGATTCATCACCTGTGGCTGCCTGATGAAGGCCTTCTTGTCAGTAATGTCAGCAAGTCCCTCAGACAACACTAAATATGATCATTGATCCCAATCAGAAATGATCCTTGGAGGGATCCTAGATGCTCCCCACTTTACACACATATATTTATACTTTCACAAAAGAAGAATAAAGGGCTATTTTCAACTTCTGGGCAAGGTTCTAGAACAGCAAAATTAGTCCAAAACATACATAGACATAAATTTCAGAGTAGCCCTAGGGCATGGGGCCCTGGAGATTTAAGAGAGATTGTTCCTGAGACTGTCTTGGGAAAAGAAACAGCATTTCCAGAGGATCCAACTGAGCCAGCAGCTTCTGTTCATCCCACGACCCAGTGGAGACATCCAAAACCAGACAACCAGCAGGGAAGTCAGCTTGAAACACCAATTTCATCAGAAAACACACACTTTTTTTTTTTTTTGCCAGCAGACTCATATAAAAATATTGCGCCCAAATGCAGTAAAACTCTTGCAAATACAAACAATTCAATACAAACAAAACTGTTATATGCTTATATCTTGTAGCAAGCTCAGCCAGGCAAACTGGCTCTTTAACAGACAGCATCAATATTACAAATTAAATTCCTGAGTATAAATTCAACTTCTTTTTTTTGTTGTTCAATAAAATGAAGGAAACTAAGCCTTATTTGTCCTATGAAGAAGTGATTACTTTGTAATAAACAGCATTAGGATTAAAAATTACTTTTCTGAGAGGCAAACGACACGTGATCTTTCTAATTTTTCCTGACCTCTTGCTCAAGTTTGAGCCTCTAAATAGCTCATCACTGTTACAAACCTGTTTGTGTTGTCTTCTGTGTTTATAATAACCATAAGCATTAACATAGTCTGTTCATAACTACAATAATCCCTACTGCCTTCCCTGCAGAATTAAAACAGGCAGGAACCAAGAAGTGTTCCATTTACAGCCACTAGAAATAGTGTTATTTCCAATGAGTTATATCAGCAATGACCCCTTAAGGATTTAGAATCTGGGATTGCAATGTCTGCACATTTTCAAGTCAGAGCATTATTATCTTTTGGCTAAGTTTTAGTTTAGAATAGTTAATAACAAAACACACATAAAATCTTCATTTTAAAACTTCCCACAGTTAGTTTTACAGCTGATTTTGACTGGATACAGAACTCACTATTTGCCTGAGTAACAACATAACAGATGCTGTTATAATATTGATTTTCCTGATGTTTTCTAATAAAACCACAGCAAGTTAAAAAAAACAGCATTTGACAAGCGAATTAAAATGTTTTTTAAAATACAATTTAAATATTTATATTTTGAAGTGAGATTCAAAAGCTCAATAATTACCACCTAAATTTATGTTTATAGCTATGTTTCAGGAAACTTATTCTTGGGAACCAAATTCTTGGATTTTAAACTTTATTATCTTGACTACAGCTGGGAAAACTCGGGAAAACTTTCTTCCCACTGAGTTCTTTCGCTGGCCTTCCCTGGACAATAAGTCAAAGCTCTTACTTTCCCTGCTTCCCTTTCCTCCAAGTCAAACCCTCAGATGAGTAAGTTGGTTCCCAGTGGAAGTCACTGGCCAATATAAGTATATACTTTAAGGGCATAATGTCTAAATTTTAGTTCAAATTTCGAAGTTTCACGGTCCCACTTACCGTAATATTTGCATTCTCTTTCTAAGTATTGTAGCTTAAGTCTTCCAATATTCTTCCTTTTCTAAAGCAAAAAAGAAGTGAGACATTTAAAAAAGGATTTTCCAAGGCACCTCAAGCAGAAAGAAAATTCCTTTTATAACTTGTGGGATAGCACATGGCATTACTGTATGTCACTGATATACCAGTTGATCTAAACTTGGCTTGTCATGTGTGTGGTTTATCAGATCACAATGTATTTTAAATTCTGTGATAGATCTTTTGACTCCTTCCATTGAGGAAATTAATGTTTTCACTGTTAGGAAATTAGATGGTTCCGGAGACTGGAAACTGAATAAGGAGAACCATTGGCTTAAATGTGGCCTGGGAAAGTATTCATCAATATTTTTGATTATGAGGTGATTTATTTGAAATAAATTAGAGGTCTCATTTATTAGATTCCTAATAGAAAAGGCATATCCTCCTCTCTTTTTCTTTCTCTCTCTTTCTCTGTCTTATATACTTGTGAAGAAGTCACCTTTGGCACAGCTAACAATCTGCTTGGTTAGTCAGAATGGCCAGCACCTCCTGCTGGTGTTGTTCTGAGGTAATTTTCTGGGTCATGATCCTTACTTACCGAAGTGAGCTTACATTACCTGCATGTCACTTGTTCTTCAGGTAAACAGAGTGATTCAGATACTGATGGTGTTTAATAAGCTGGTAGTAACAATTTAATTCTTATCTGTGTCCCTTCTGGAAGTTTTCTTGTGTTTTGACATAAAAGACCTTTATTTTTAAATTAATTCTGTCAGTAAAGTTGTATCCTAAAAAACCTTGGGGTTTCAAAGCTTCATCGGTATCTACAGACAAAATTTTCCAGCACGTCTTCATATACATTTTTACAAATGATGTTACAATACAAGGCAGTTTAGTATTACAATGAAAATGTAACATTTAAAGTGGAAGGTGACTCAGTGGCCTGAGGGAAGGCGTTCCAGACAGATGAGGCAGCGAAAGGGAAAGAGTGCCAAAATGATCCGGAGGGGCTGGTAAACTGATCTCAAGTGTGCAGAATAAGGTGACACACTGAAGTGCTGGGAAAACAGTAACTAATTCCCAATCCAGTCACCTCATGGGAGTCAGAGTTTGGGGATTATATCCTAGCTGTGTTTTCATTAGAGAACGGCCCTGTTTTAAAACAAAGGAGGGACATTTTAAGAACTCCAGCAGGTTTTCTCCCTCGTCTGTGCCGCCAGGGTCGGGCAGAGCCAGCGCCTCCTGCGTGCCGCGCACGGAGCAGCGAGCGCACACTCCCGAGCTGTAACCCGGCAACACGATTCCCCAAACCCCATTGCGCACCTCGCTTGTTGGCACAGAGATTGTCGTGCTTTTCTGCTGCCCCCATGTGTCGAGACAACAGGCTCCGTGTAGGGACGGAGAGACTTCGTCTGCCCCAGCTCCGGCCCTTCACACTGACCATTCCTCGCTTCATCGTCTTGCACCACTGGAATGCACTAGACCCACTTTCTCCTTTCCATCGAGTTTGCTTCTGTCGTATTTTAGCAAACTGTTATCCAACTGTACTCTCCTGCTATCTAAGCCATGCAATTCTAGGCAACCTACCTACCAAGCTCTCATCTTTAACTAGTTCTTCTGGTTACCTCACTGAGCAATCACGTTGCTGTCCTCCAAAGAGGCCAGCCTAGCTGAGGTGATCTGATGACCACAAGTTCAGAGATGAGCTGATTGTCATGCCACTACTGATAAACACCGAAACTCTCATCTGAGCGTGCCTGGAGAGCAAGAGGTCTCAAGAAATTATTTTTAAAATGTACCCTATCCATGAATGCCTTCTCCTTATTCTGTTCTGCCAACAATTTAAGACATCCTAATTAGGGGTGTATTTCATGAAGTATAATTTTGGCTACTAATTATTGAATGTTTTGTCATATTAAACATCTGACTTGAGCTGTTATTTTTCACACTTCTCAGTGTCTAGAACAGGCTTCAAAAGCCTCTGATGCTCAAACCACCAGCCATTCATCCTAGTTGGGAGTTGTATAAAATCCTAAGGGTCCTAATCTACATTGCCACCAAGCTGAGCTGCCTAAGGCTCCTGCCACCTGCCTGGACTTTGTGGGTAACTTGCTGTAGGCCTTAGGGCCTCTAATATAAACCAAAGAAACACACTGGAAAGCCACTATGCCTCATTAAAGACACTGAAGATACCTATATTTTATATATATAGTACACGTGTTCTTAGGTCAGACAGAAGTCTTTACCTTTGAGTATATTTTCCTCATTACAATGCAATTCACATTAATCGGATTTCCACAAATAGTAGCCACATTTATTTTGTTCTTCAATGTTAAAAGAACTTCCAAATGGACTCTCAGTGAAATCTCCCTGCTCTTTAAGGAGTTTTAATTTCTTTGCAAGCAGCCTGGATGAAATTCTGCTCTCTGTTCTAGATGTACAATGCCATTTAAGTGATAAGGAGTGAACTGTAAATCTCTGTTTGACAAATGTGCAATTGGAAATAGAGACTCTGGTTACAAAATACATCTCCCTAGACTAACCCTTAATCCACTTTTAAAAATACAATTCATAACATGTTGTTGTGTTAATCTCAACCCCAGGTCAAAAGAATTCATACCCCTGTCTCTGGACAACAGTAAGTGGTTAACAAAGGCAGACAGTGTAGAAGTCTTAGAATCAACCTCAAACATGGCTACCAGGAATAAAAAATTAAACTGTTTTACAAGTAAAGGAGAAAAAGTTCAAGTAATCAAATTATACATTTACAATACGGCTTTCACTTTAGTAACATTCCTGTATTTCCTTTTCCTTTAGGTTTCAGCAAGCAGCTACTCCACTCTTTGTACCAGTCCTTCTGACAGTGTGTTCAGTTGGTATTAATCATGCTGTGAATCTCCTGATTAGATGTTTTTGTATGTCCTGAAGAAAGGGAGAGCCAATTGAGGGTCTAATCCTGTTCTATCTGAATGACAATTTAGACAAGAAAGAGGAGGGCAAACCCCATAAAGAACAGCCCAAGTACAAACACAGTGCTGGGCTCGGTGCCCTCTCTTACGTGTAATCCGAGGGAAACGAGTCCATCGCAGTGTCAGCTACAGCAAGATGTGCACACCTACACCAGCAGCAGGCTGAGGCAGTGCCAGCTTGACTGGAGACCTGAAACAACACAGCAAAATTAGCCTTGTCTGCTACACCAGGTTCTTATCAAAAACAAGAGGCAGAAAGACATAAAAGACAAGAAATGAAGTAAGGAAGGAAAAGAAGGCAGGGAAGGAGAGGGGTCATAGTAGGAATGCAAATTTCAACATATCACAGAGTGTTCCAAATCAGGTGAAGACAGCAGAACTGGCATTATCAGATCCCCTTTTATGGTCTGTTTTGAACTGGTCTTGCCTTGCAATCAGGACAGTGAAATCCTATAGTGTCAAAATGAATCCTGGGGTCTCTGATGATGCTGGGAGTAGGAACCCTGACTGTAAATCTCACACCTTTCAATTAAGCTGTTTTTTTGGCAGTGTCATCACCTTCCTTCTGCTTCACCTGCCCAAAGAAAGTCATGACTGGAACAGCACATACCCTTCATGTTTTGTCTGGTATTCAAAACCAGGTTATTAATTTTAATCCACTGATTTCTCATCTTCTATTTCTGTTGATTACCAGATGTAGCCTCCAAGTCATAGAATCCTATAGATAGGAGTGCTCATTCATTTTATCTCAAGTTTTTGAAAATTTAAAAAATTGTTTTTAAAAACAATCTGATATAAGAGGTTGAATAAAACTTTTGTATTGTACAGTGGATAATACTGCACAAGAAAAAAAAAATCACAATTTAAAATAAGGACACAGTGCCCTCCATGTTTTTTTTAGGCTATCTTAAAGAATCTCACACCTTTACAGTTGAGTAAAAGTGTTGTTACAAAAAAGGGATTGTACAAATCCACTTTTACTATTGCCACCCCTAACATCAATAATTTCTGGGTATCAATAAATTCTGGGGATTATCTCTAATTTCTAGAAATCTTTACAACATTTTTCATCTGCACCTTTTCTACTGCAACAAATCAAACTGCTGGTGTATTCATTTTGAGAAGCAAATAGATGGAATGTGGGATACGAGGGATTTTGGCTCTGTGTGGATGACTGGAAGACTGCTTTCATTACTGTGGTTATAACTAACTTTTTGGAAAAGCCTGACTCCTCCCCTATTGATGCCAGCAACAGAACAAACTCTGATTTCATTGGAAACAGCAGCAGGCCCCATAAATCATTAGTACATTTCATCTAAATAATTAATGAGACTGAAAAATTCTCAAGTAACACTTGGGAAATCCTCACAGGAGCACTGGCCTGTTAAATGATAAAACATGTTTGGGGCTGGGTGAAAAAAAATAGGACTCAAGGAACATTTTAATGTTATTATTTGTACCTTCTATAGAAAAAAGCTGCCATTTCTTTCATCCTTCTGGTACACCTCTACTTCTAAATTAGAATAGGAATTAGAATTACACAACACCTGGCAGGCTCAGGATGAGGGATGCACTGCATAATGATATGGATAGAAAATATCCAACTCATATTATCTTACCCAAAGTTTATAAATCACTACTGAAATAGCTTTACCAGAAACACCCAGAAATTTGCTATTGACATTTTTCTTACGAAAAGAATAACGGCTTTAAGATAATCTACTAAATTCTATAACCTAGAAGAGATTATAGAATTATTTGCTGTTCAAATCTGAAAATGGCATGTCTCATTTCTCATTTATTGGTTCAGCACATGCCATTAATACCATAGTATTAATTTCATCCTAATATCTAGAAAATCAAGAATTTTCCATTTCTGATAAATCCATAAGTTTACAAATACAATCTGATAATCCTACTGTGGAATGACAGAAAACCAGCCATGACAAAGTTCCATTTTAAAGCCCTTCCTGCTTGTGAAGGTAGTTTGAGCTTTGACAGACACGATCTAGAGAGAATTAGTGCTCACATCATTTACTCTAGGACTCTATGCCTTGTTCTTCTGCCAGCCAGCAAAGACAAAAGGACATAAAGCTGGAGATAACGATACTCTGAAATGCCTTTTTTTAGTGCTCAGCAGTCAAAAGCCTGAATTCACTGTCTTCTAAAAATGCAGACAGAGGAGCAATAGTATTTTCATGGGCTTTATGCTGTTATTTGCAAACAAGTGAATCTGAAATTCTCTGGTGTTGCTCCATCAAAATGCCAGCTCTGAAAGACCTGGCACATCTCCTGTGTGTGCTCCAATTTGCTGTGGTTCCCGGAAATTTTGGCCTTGTAGCACCTGCCGTTACAATGGTCACTTTGTTTGCCACAGTAAAGGCTCATAACATTCATGGTTTCCCAGTGCTGTATTTTCTACATAAACCTTAGCTTATGTGTTGCCCAGATTATTCAGTGACTTTGCAATTCCAGCATCTTATATAAATCTCTCTCTTAAAGTGGATCTTTTTTGTGTTTTTTTTCAATCAGCTTGAATAATCACTCTGCATTGCTTAATTTGGCAATATCATGCACAAACAGCAGCTCACAAACAGCACAGGAACAGCAAGACTCCATGAGCATTTGGCAATAATTGCAAGCCAGCAGAAGTCCCCACAGGTTTACAATTACTTTACCAGACACATCAGACTTTATTTTCAGGCTTCAGACTTTGTATCCTACACATCTCCTGTAATGTCCAAGGCACAGCAGCGTGTGGTACAATATCAACATGCAGCTCCTGTCAGCACTGCATGGCTCACATCTACTGTTACAGATACTATAAAGAATACATTAGATCTTTATTCCTGGTATAAAGTTACATTAGACATCACCCACCCCATAAAATGCCCCAGCTGTACCCAAAAGAAGGGCTGACTTCACTACACAGCCTTTCCATCTCATCAAAGAAACTACGTCACAAACTAATGCTCATATGCTGTTCTGACAATGGCATTTGTGCTGGTTTTGGCTGGGGTGGAGTTAATTGTTTTCCACAGTACCTGGTGTGGGGCTGTGTTTTAGATTTGTGCTGAACAGTGTTTATAATTCAGGGATGTTTCTGTTATTGCTGAGCAAAGCTCACATAGACCTAAAGCCTTTTCTGCCTCTCACCCCACCCCAGCAGTGAGGAGTTGGGGGGCACAAAGAGTTGGGAGGGGACACAGCTGGGACAGCTGATCCCAACTGACCCAAGGGATATCCCAGCACATAAAGCTGGGGGAAGAAGAAGGAAGGGGGGACTTGGTGATGGTGTTTGCCTTCCCACGTCACTGCTGCACGTGACAGAGCCCTGCTGTCCTGGGGATGGCTGAACACCTGCCTGCCCAGGGGAAATGGGGAATGAATTCCTTGGCTTGATTTGTGTATGTGCACAGCTTTGCTTCACTTGTTAAACCACCTTTATCTGAGTCCACGAGTTTCCTCCCTTTTACTCTTCTGATCCTCTCCCCCATCCCAGCAGGGGGCTGTAAGCAAGTGGTTGTGTGGGGCTTTGTTGCCAGCTGGGGTTAATAATGGCCAGTCTTCGCGAGCGAAGATCCGGGGAAGGTCTTTCCACCTTCCAGCCTGCGCACTGGATTTTTTAGGTGAGACACAGTGTGCGCGGAACTGAGCCCACCCTTTAATCCTAAGGTTCATCTGCCGGGGCCAAGCGAGCTTGGACGGTGGCAGCGAGGTCCTCAGGACGTAGATGGGTTGTCTTTAAGGGCTAACGAGCTCCACCTGCCCGGGAGTGGCCCTGACCGGGAATCGAACCCGGGCCTCGGCGGTGACAGTTGGGGTTAAACCATCACATTATTTTACAAAAAAGAGACAGAAGTAAAAGAAAAGTACTTCCAATGCATCAGGAAATTTTTCAAAGAAGAACTGCCTTTACCTCTGACTTTTCATACTGTTATATGACTCATAAAGTAACTTTCTGAAGTACTACATTCCACAGGAGAACCTCTTCTCTAGCTCAGGTGCTCACTTGATAACATTTTGAGAGAACTAGGAGAAGGTCAAGAAGCCAGATATTCCATCATTAGATTTGAAAAGGGCTGTATATAAATTCCCCATCATAAATGCATAACATTTTAGTAATCTTTTACAATTCCAATTGTGACAGGCATTTTAAATAAAATAATACATTGGCAATCAAGCAGCATTTTTTGTAAGATGAGCTGTTTAAATTACAGACAACTTTCTGTTGCTGGTTTATAGAATGAGTAGAAAAGAAAATCTAGGCTCTACATTTACCAAGTGACGTGGTAAGTTTTAGTCAGTCAAGGTTTTAACCAATGAAATTCTATATAGTCACAGGGTTTTTCTGTGTACTGGTTAAAATATGTTGAAATTATTCCACCTATGTTTACTTCTCAGTTTTATTTACGGCTTAGTTTCAATTGCTTCTTTTAATTGCTTTTCCCCCAAAGCTTATTTCTGTGCATTCAATAGCAAGTTTAGGAGTTGTGTCTTTTTGAGGATGTGTAGTTACAGGTCATCCTGAAGGATTTCTGCACTGTTTCACGGTGCTTATTAAAATTAAAAAGGAGCACTTCAAAGAAGTCAGGAATATTTTACTATTAAATCACACGTGTTTGCTGGGTCTGCCTTTGGAACTGTGAAACCTTTACGTTGTTACCAGCTGATGGGCTCCCCGGTGACTGCCATCTTCGAGTTCTGATCAACACTTCAAGAAAGAGCAATAACCAGCAATTTTAAAAGGCTGAAAGCGTAAAGCAGCTGACAAGAGCGACAGAATGCCACCACAGCACCTCTTGGACAAAGCAGCCAAACACACATAAGCATCTCTAGGGGACGTTTGGTGAGCGGGGAGAAGCGCTGGGTGCCCGTAGGTGCAGCGGGAGCAGTGTATTCCCTGTCCAATGAGGTGGAATGCTTGGCGGGCACATGGTTTACGCTGCTCAAAATAACTTGGGACCTGCAAGCTGCCAAATGCGATTGCTCCGGTGGTGACAGGTTGTCCAGCTCCTTACAGCCATCCTCACGATAACGAAGGTTAACTTCCTTCACTCCATGGACTCCGAGCTGTTTCTGGTCCTGAGGACTTGAAGAATCCCCTCGCTTCCTTAGCTTTCATCTCACGCTTCTGGATAATTGTCATCGCTATTAACTGCCAGGGTTGGGCAGCAACATCTGGAGGAATTAAAAAAGGTAACCCCTCAACTTTAGATCGGGATACATTTTGATTTTGCAGCAGCGTAGGAGAGTTTGATGAGCGTGTATGTTTGAATGCTAATTATAGCTGGGAAGGCATATACAGGGGACAGATAATTTTTAAACTGACTGGTTTAAATTATGCTGAGATGTGTGCATTGCCAGGAAAGAGAAACAGTGTTCTGAAGCATTATAAAGGACTTGAATAGCACCGGTGGGGTTCTCAAAATCCCTGGGAGCCAGTCTGACTCCTCCAAAGAGTCAAGAAGATTCTAATGACCTGAAAAGTACCTTGTGGGAGTGTGTTCTTCCTCCTGCTTATCTTGCCTCCACTTTCTGAAATATTTGTATTCTTAAACAAAATTGCCATAATCTGGAATTACTTCTTAAGCAAAATCAAACCTATTTTAACAAGATCCCCACAGTTAAATGCTTTCTATTTATTTATTTATTTATTTATTCTGTCATGTAAAATGACCCCTGTGCTATATTTAGTGCAGGGAGATCTGCTCTCTGGATTAATGTACACAACAGCTGCAGAAACAGTCCTGCTAGAAGGGCATAGCTCTCACCCTTGAGCTCGCACTATCTCCCTTGCTCTCTTTCTCTCTCTCAGAAAAGTATTTGACTGTCAGTAGCAAATGTTTGGCCCAATATATTGCAACATTAAGCAGTAATCAGAAGCCCATATTTAGTTTTACCAAATAATATGCCAACAATTGACAAGAGAACAGAGTACCTCTTGAGTGTACATCAGCAGAACATTATACAAATCACACTAAAGACACTGATTACTTTATCAGTAGCTCTTCTTTGGTCATGAGGTTTACATTTGGGAAGATGCTCTAGAGTTTAAGAGTGAAAACAAAATCAGCAAATGTTAATGGTACCATTTCATAAACTTCAGCTCTGCTCTTCTCCCTGTCCTACACTTCCTGAAGGTTCCTAAGGTCAGGGTATTTCTTTCTGTCTGCCTGGGTTTTTTTTTTTCAAAAACAGCTAACAAATTTAAACAGCAATATCAAGTGTGTTAGTTCCTGTAGCTGAGCAGAATGGTATTTACATATCAAAAATTATTTCTAGTCAATTCAGGAGTTAGTTCGGTCTTGCATTTGCCAGAGCACCAAACACAAAGGGGAGCGCTGTGCTCCGTGCTTTTTTACTCCTGTGCATTCTTTAGAGATTTTACAGCAGGTCTTGCTGTGGTACTGAAAGAATGTTTCTCATCAACAGCTGCTGAGAATTAGCAGTCTAGGTATATTTGCTCATAAATACAACATTAAGATAGTTTGTTAAAGATTTACACAATACCATAACTACAATTGTGCAATGCAACGTCAACTGTATTCTAAATCACTGAGGGGGTGGAGGAGAGAAAAAAATCAGTTTACTTTTCTGTTTAAAATTTCACTGGTTTAGTGGTTGTTTTCATAAACAGGAATATTATGGGAAAATTAATTCTGTCTAATATAAATCTCATTTAAACATTGTATTTCGAAAATATTATTCAAACGTGAAAGCTTTTATGTTACAATATTTTGAGGGGAAACTGATGAAATGGCATAAAAAGGTCAGAACAGTGGACAAGAAGGAAGAAATACAGTGAGGAAGGGCTCAACTGAAAACCTGGGGTGGAAAACACAATCCAGGTTTCTTTTGTGTGTAGTTTAGGGCTTGAGTTCCCTTTTCCATTGGGAAGCTGTGTTTGTAGGGAAACTGAATCTCATTTTAAAAACAAAGCAGCCCACAGATTTGAAATTACCAGGCAAAAAGATGTGCAAATGCCGTGTAGTTTGCACGCCCCTGTTTTTCGGCCTTTCATATAAACTTTTGCCCACATGGGCAATCCTTGAAGGAAAATGGACAATACACATTCCTGGAATCAACAAAAACTTGTCCTACCTTACGAGCACTTGAAGTACCACTCAGATCTTGTCCTGATATCTGAGGTCTGGCTGCACAGGTCGTTGGGAGAGGAGGATGGAGAAGCATCCCAGGCAGGCCTCAAAAGACAGCCATCACCTGTCTTCCTTCCAATTGAAAAGTCAGCTTCGATTTGTTTGTTTCAATTTGACGTTATGTGGAGTTCCTTCAGGATATTGTTTACCTTGCAGTTCAAGGAGATTCACTGAGGAGGCCAATGGAACTTGAGACATGGTAGAAAGGGTCTCAATTCTCATTTTGAGAACTATTTAGGGACTATAGCAATTATGAAAAAATGAAGACTTTCTGTGATCAGAGTGAAAAAAAAAATCATTAAGTGAGAGTATGAAGGAAATGTTGAAAAAGTTCGTGAGTGTTGAACGTGCTTTTTCCTTGAAGCAGAGTTCAGGATTTTCTACTGCTTAGGGTGCCCAGTACTGTAACAGTGAGGCCATGGGCCAGGGCAAAGCTCCAAGTGCACCCGGGGCTCTTGCAGTGTCTGCTGCACAGTAACTTGGAGAAAGGATTTATCCCATCCCATTTCTGAGGGATTTTGTGTTCATCAGAAGCTGTTACACTCCTGAGCCTGGAGGCTCTCTGTTTTCCATATTTAATCACATTACTCAGAAATGGGAGTTATCTGACTCATTACAAGGAATGGAATTCAAAACCACTAATGTGTCTAAAACAGAAAAGTAAACCCCCTGCTTGGGCATAGCTTTCCAAACACAATTTTAAAAATATCTTACACTCACACTCCCAAACACACAGAGAACTGCTAATCTTAGTCCTCTGCTCCAGCCTAACCTTTCCTGTGTCTGGAGTCTCAGTGTCTGTCTTGCAGCAGCCACAGCTTGTCAAAGGCAGTAAGGAAAATGGTGACAATGGCAACTGCTACATGAGAATTCCTGCAAGCACGTGAGAATGGGATTGTGAACATCAAACATCTGCAAGGCAGATCACTTGAGTCATCTCTTAGCTTGTTTTTCATAGCCTGTAATAATCATACAGTTGGAACACTCCATAACAGTCTGTGGGTAAATGCAATTTATGTGCAATTAAATTAATTTTGAAGTGGATATGGCCTCTAAGATCTGCTAAACTTTCCAATATCCATCTGAGCTGCTGGGCATGCAGTGTCCTGCTGTGTAAAGGTCACAAAGGTGCCTCTATGCAGAGGAAGAAGCAGCAACTTGAGAGCTGTTCTGATGCTGGGTTTCATATAAAAGCACTCTCAGTAAAAGTAATGGTAGTTTGAAAAGCTAAGACACAAACAACATGTACTGACCAAAATTTCTAACTACAGCTGAAAGCCAAAGATGTTCAAATGCTTTTTACGTTAAAAGTGCTATTTACATATAATCTGTTTATGATGACACAGAAGGGGAGTTTGAAAAAAAACATCTTCAGGGTATCAAACACCTAAAGCTTTCTCTCACCAAATAAAACAGAGGTAGATCAGACACATCTGGGATTTCCTTCAGCTTTGCTGAGATTTCACTAGTGCTGTTTCCTTACAAAAAGCTCAGATTCTTTCAGTGATGACTCAGCAATGAGTCTAACAAGCCTCAAACAAGAGGAAATGAAAGTGTTTGGTGTCAGGCTATGCAACATCCTTGCGGTGCAATTTTCCCCCCTTCCAGGTAAGGATTTTTGGGTCAAACCACTGCCAAAACAAAGAGTGGAATCTAATTGTACCTTTGTGAATATTTAATCCTAAGGATCACTTGGCTAATAAGAGAAGATTGCCATAAATATGGGCTCTTGGAAACCCAGTTGGCTAATGGAAACTGAATTAGTAGGTGGAAGGAGTTCCTGGAGTTAGTTTTGTTCATGGCTTGTGTCCCATGAAAGCAAAAAATGTTGCCCTCAGTGCTCTGGTTTGGTGCTGTAGGTTATGAGCCAGTCAAGAGCAGAGAACTGCAGGCTGCTGGAATCAGTCATCACATTTCCACCCTAAATAACAGCAGTTTAGAAATATTATTTGTAATTAGCACTGCAGTTCCTCCCTTGGATACTGGGTTCATCACGACACTTTTCCAGTCAGCAAAGTCACTGGTGCTTTCACTGACGCCACAGACACCTACTGTGTTTTTGCAAGAGTTTGTTCTTACTGCTTGCTCAACAGAGTTTTCTGCAGTTGTCTGCACTTGTCTGCTCAACAGAAACATCTGCAGTTCCTGCATACATTTTGCCAGCTCCGTGCCATGGTGTGCTGTGACACTGCACACAGGGATGGTTTCTCTGTGGCCACAAAGACAGTTCTGTTCCAAAATCCCAGTCTGGAGAAGTTAAAGGGAGGGCTCAAGGCATGTCAAGGCCAATTCTACATCTCAGCCTAAACAAAGACTGAATTCAAGATCTTAAGTTTGAAGCTTAGCTTCCAATTTTGACTATAGAAGGGCTAAATTATTACTAATTATCATTAGTCAGATCTGTAACAGGATAGCTGTTCCCCTGGTCATGTCTTTTCACTCACAAAAAGATAGTTTAATAGATATTTGAGAAAATATATTGAATTCAACCTTACTGCCATCTAGCCCAGAGACCCTCTCAGGCTGCATGCCTGGTCTCCTTTGAACAAAAGTTGTTGTTTCCTGACTATGAAATGTGAATGGTTCATCTTACCCAGTGCTTCCCTCATCATCAGCCCTCTATAGTCCTTGGATAGTACAGATTCCTGTAGGAAGGAAAAAAGAAAAGAAAAATAAAGAAACCAGACATCTCTCAAGGCATGAGCAAGGTAGAATTAATGGGGTTCCCTGGTAGCCTCACAGCAACATTGCTGAAACTTAACACTTTCCATTGAATTGAAAATCCCACATAATTCAAAATATTTTAAAAATTCAGTAGCCAAGCAGTGCTACATTTGAATAGAACCGAACTTCTTTCTTACTAAAAATAGAATTGAGAAGTTATTTTCTACACAAGCTGAAAACAGAGAAGAGTTAGATTCAAAATTCTGACTGAAATGTTTACGGTGAGCTCTAAAGAAAAGTGACTCTCTAAGTAGTAAGAATTTGGCATCAAATTCATTCTCAGGAATACCTTGCTTCCCAACACAAGAAGGAGAATTCTGTTCCCTTCTACATCTCCTGCTTCAATGGGCAGAAGAGGAAGGAAGCTGTTCCAGGTCCTTTGCTGGGGAACTGGTTTTCTCCTTTTGCTATCAGACAGTGGCTTCTTCACTACACCCTTTCTTTTTTTTTCAAACTAGAATTATAAAACTAATTTGCCAATCTAAACACATCTTTGAGAGTATCTCCTTATATTGCAGTAATACTCCTTAAGCAAGTTGGCAGAAATTATTTCTTTCATGTTTCACTGCTTTGTTCAAAAGACCCAGAAAAAAGTCTCAAATAACCACACTGGACAAACAGTTGCTCTGCCAGGGTCACCTGCAGAAAAGCTGTGATAAACAACCTCTGTTGAAATACACAGAGCACTTAATTGAGAAAATCAAGCACTATCTGTACAACAGAGGAAAATAAAACCCTGAATAATCTCACTTGGATAATTTTCATATATTCTTTCAACAAAATCATTCTTTAAGATCATTTGACTTCAGCAGGTTTTGATCACACACCCTTCCCTACTTGCCTTTCCTCCTTAGTGTGTCCAGTGCTCTCTAAAGGACTGTATCATCTTTTCCCAGTGTCTGATGACCTTTCCAAATGCTGAGATGAACCGAGGATGTGCCACTCTGAAAGAGTAGCCGAGAAACGGAGCAAGTTCAGCTTTGCCACCATGTAAAATATGCACTTCTCCAGCCCTATAAAATACAGCCTTCCACTGTGGCATCTAAAGCTGCAAAGAGCTGGGTGTTCTAATTGGGGGTGGAGGGGTTAGCACAGAGCTGCATCCCCAGGAGATAACTGTGCAGGCTGCACACCCCGTGACACCCCACTGAGGCACACACTGCTCCCTTCCCATAGGCTCAGCCAGCAAAAAGAAGGAGCAGAGGAAAGAGCTGCCCACAGCTCTGCTTCTCCCCTTCTGATTTCCAGCAGACACAAGCTGGCCCTCGGGGAGGAGGCCCCTGTTCCAGGGAGGCTCCAGGGCTGCACTTCATTCCCAGGACAGGCCTCACTTCCAGTCTGGAAAGGCCTGATGTTGGAATGTATTTCAGCCCTTTGCAGTTGAAACTGGAGCTTTAGCTGCGACCTTTAAGCACACAGGATGTGATCAGCACAGACACAAGATAATATAAACCCCTTAACCAGACTGTGCTTCAGCAAGGGGGCACAGCTGCCTAAGAAGCTAAAGCTGAGCAAGCAAAAGTAGTACCCATGGAGCAGGAACTTTAAACCTCTTTGTACTCTTAAGAGGTTAAATCACAAACTCTGTCCAGTCATGGAACAGTTTACAACATTATCTCGTGTGGGCTTCCCAAGTCAGTGCTCTCTATGTGCCTCAGCCTCACTAAAACACTGTGCCAGATAATTAAATGCCAATTGTTCACTTAGTATCCCAGACCGTGGTTCACTTGCAGGGACTAGAATAGGTGCTTAGAAGCAATAATTTATATGGCATTTTATTTGTTATTTTTTTACAGGTAAAAACTTAGCAATATTTCAGTTGGGTGCCTTTGTAGTCTTCCTGATTTTTCTTGTTTCATACTACAAAACCAAAGCAAAAATCAATAAATCTGAATTGCCAGACATTTACGTAAGAAAAAGAATTTCTATATAACAAATTGTGCCTCAGACAGAGAGATTAAGGTCTCAAAATGCACATCAGATGATGATAACTTGATATTCATTCACTGAAGAAGAATATGAAGAGTTTAAATTGAAGCTTTCCTTTTTTTGTAAATCAGGAACAAGGGCTGTCACTCACGTTCCAGGGTGAAATATTGCAGCAGTACGAGATAGTACAGCTTCATTCTTTTTTTTTTTTACCAGCTTTTTTCCAGGGACAATTGTCCTGCTAGGAAAGCCAAAAGCCTTTCACAGCAGAGATACCTTTTTTAATTTCCTTTCTCTGGCAACTTCAGCTGTTACATAAGGCAATGAATGGGAATGGCCAAGGCCAGGGCATGGATGTTCCTTTCTCCTGATGCCATGACACAAAAAGAACCTTCTGCAGTGCAGCAAACCAGACACCTCAGAGCAGGAATATCTGAAACCACCCCAGCAAGACTTGCCAGGCCATAAATGAAGTAGCAGAGAGATAATAAGCACTGCATATTCTGAGAGACAGATCCAGTAAATAGTCATGCACTTGTTCCAGTGAGATAGCAGCTCTCTGAAAGGTGGTAAAGGGCAGTTATTTGTCTTCATATTTAGGCCACCTTAAGATGAGGGTGTTAACAGGATGCCTGAATCCCTCTGCATTCATAATGGCTCTTGTGGAAATAAAAGGGCCAAGATTATGCAGACATACTTTCTTCAGTGTGACAAGGGATTCTTTAGCTTTGCAGGTTAAGTATGGGCTTTCTGCTACAGCCTTCTCATGTGGTACATTTTTCAGAATCAGGATGACCTAAGATAATAATTTTGAAAACCCTCCAGTACAAATTATGTTTCTATCAAATCATGACATATTTCTCTACTTTAGATAGCTTATTAGAAATAATGATGAATTTAAGAAGGTACAGAACATTTAGCACTGTTACAGCCTCCTATAATGCAATATCTTTAGGAGTTTTAAATGAAAAACTGCCATTATTGAATATTTTTGTACTTTTTCCTTCCTCCTCACATCCCTCACATGTTTCTGAGGGTTTATTTACTTACTACTTCTGTGCCTTTCAAGCTAAATTTACTTCATTTAAAAGTACTGTTATTCTCTCACAACTTTCAGTCCCTGAAACATCCAACACTCCATCTGTCTGCTGAGGTTGTTTCTTAGGTAAGTTAGCTCCGTTGGTCAGAGCATGGTGCTCATAATGCCACAGTCACGGGTTCCATCCCTGTACAGGCCATTCACTCAAGGGTTGGACTCAATGATCCAACTCAATCCAACTCAAAACATTCTGTGACTAGGTGAGATTTGCCATTGGAACTCAGTTAACAGCCCTGTAGTTAAAGTTTTGCCTGGAACAGAGTAGAAAATATCACACTTGCAGTTCCTTCAGCTATGTAAGGCTACCTAGAAAGTGATCCAAGATGAACTTCACTGGGTAAAGGCAAGAGAATCTGGCAGCATGTACAGAATGCCTTTATAACAAGGCCATACTTACAATTACTTCCAGTTATTGCAAGTATTCAGTGCTCAGGCACAGTTTGAAAATGCCATGTTCTACTTTTCAAAAGCCTGTAATTGTGTAATTTGCCACTGATAAGGTGTGGTCCTATTTGTCCTTTTTGTTGACAGCATGCAAGACGACAGTTTAGAAACCTCAACTTCTATATCTCAGCTTCTGAGAGAGAGTTATTTAGCTGAAACTAAGCATCAAGGGAAGAGTGAAAGAAGCAGATCAGAGCCAGTTTCTCATAATTTCCACTATGGCAATGCTTCTGGTGATTCAGATGAGGTAGCTGCCCAAGATGACCTTCCAGATCTCTCTGCCTTTTTGAGCCAAGAAGAGCTTGATGAAAGTGTAAACCTGGCAAGACAAGCTATTGATCAGAATCCACTGGAAACTAAACAGGATGAGCTTCAAGCACAGTCACAGCATCCCCCAGATCAGCTGAACAACCCGGGAAAACACAAACAGATGGCCCAGTCTACAGCTTTGAAAACATCAGACAATGGTCTGCACTCCAACTTTTGTCAGGACCATATCAGGAACACAAAGGGCTCCAAAGGGAGTTCTCAAGATCTAAAGAAACACTCCCTCCCTTCTGAATCAGAATCCAAAAAGGAATTCCTAAACAAGGCAGCAGATTTCATCGAGGAGCTCTCGTCACTTTTCAAAGCTCACAACTCGGAAAGAATAAGACCCCGAACGTGCAAAAACTACAGGAGCAAGATTGATTCTAAGAATAAGTCTGCTCAAAAAGGGAGCTCTAGCCTCTCTCTCACATCAGAAAACAGGGAAAGGCTTTCCATTCCAGCATCTCAAGACTTGGAAAACAAAGCAGAGAAAACATTTGATCAAACAGATGATCAACAGGCAGCAAACTTGGAATCTATCAATCAATTAACGAGTGCAGAGCTAAAAACAGAGTCAGAATCTGCATCAGTGTATTCTGACGAGCCTTTGGGACAACCACCACGCTTTACTCAGAAACTGAAGAGCAGGGAAGTTCCTGAAGGAACCAAAGTGCAATTGGACTGCATTGTGGTAGGAATCCCAGCACCTGAAGTCAGGTAAACACATTCTGCACTTGTCATCTTGTATGTCTGTAATGGTAGGTGTATGCCTTACTCTTTCCAGATATTCTGATGCGTGGGTTTCAGTAATCTGCGGCAGAAGTTTCCTGGTCTTGGTTATTAAAAATCAATTTACAAAAAAACCTGCCCTCTACAAAAGGTTGTGTATATTTTCAGACAGCATACTTTTGGGCACGTTACTTTCTCTGAATTTTAGAGTAATGTCTTTAAATTAAATTTGTACTTTCATAGTTAAAAGAAAGTGCAAAGTCCATAGTGAGAAATGTTAGTTATCTCTATAGAAATCAAGACAGATTGTGTAAACCAACTGAAAACACCAATGGCTGTGATGCCTGAAGTGAGATGAGAGAACAGGATCCCAAAA